AAAAAAAAAAGTTATGGTTAGAATTTTATCTTGGCTTTAGGTGTTAGCTCGTAAGTAGAATATAACCATTAAGAGAATGGTTTAAAAAGAGGAGCAAAGTACAGTATTGGGTAGGGCTCAGTGAAAAGAACCTTCAATTTTTATCAAGCAGATATGGATTTGAATTCTGGCTTTTTCACTAAGTGGCATCTGTAGGTATTAAATTCTCTGAGCCTCAGTGTTTGCAATCTGTAGACTGGAAAAACACCTTAAGACTACTGGGAAGATTAGAAATAAGGCATACAAGATATACCTTCTAGGAGGCTTTCAGTAGGTGGGAGAAGCATATCAAGTAGCTCTAATCTAACCAGTGACTAGGAAGTCGCAGAGTTTTTTAGAGACAGAGTCTCACTTTATCACCCTTGAGAGAACCGTGGCATCACAGCTCATAGCAACCTCCAACTCCTGAGCTAAGCCTCCCGAGTAGCTGGGACTACCGGCACCCACCAAAATGCCCAGCTATTTTTTGTTGTTGCAGTTTGGCTGGGACTGGGTTCGAACACACCACCCTCAGTATATGGGGCTGGCACCCTACCCACTGAGCCACAGGCACCACCCGGAAGTCTCATAGTTTTATTAGAATGTATTGGTTGTGCAGATGGAGTTCTTTTCTTTCTTTCTTTCTTTTTTGAGACATAGTCTCAATATATCACCCTCAGTAGAGTGCTGTGGTGTCAGCTTGTAGCAATCTCAAACTTCTGCGCTTAAGCAATTCTCTTGCTTCAGCCTACCAAGTAGCTGGGACTACAAGTGACCTTCACAATGTCTAGCTATTTATTTTGTTGTTACTGCAGTTGTCATTGTTGTTTAGCTGGCCTGGGTGGAGTTTGAACCCGCCAGCCTGGTTGTATGTGGCCAGCGTCCTACTCTCTGAGCTACGGTGCCGTTAGATGGAGTTTATTTTCCAGGAATTTCAGAACCAAGTGGGAAAAGAAACTAAGCAACACTTTTCATGCTGGCTATTGAAATGGATTAGACGCCAGGAGACCGGCTAGTTTTTGTAGCAGTCTGAGTGAAATAGGCAACAATCTATGAAACTCTGCACTGGCATTGAAAATAATGAGGACTTCATATTGAAAGAAATTTTAGGAGCCAAAATTAGAAGTTGTAGTTGTCCTGATTACCTGTGAGATGTGAGAAATCATTTGAGGCCTTGGTTCCTTAATCAGTCAACTATGTGACTGGAGTTTCCATTCTCTGACATCAGGCATGGACCAGTACAATTTCAAAAGAAAAAGCTGGGTTCTAACAGGGTTGTCAATTTTTTATATTTTCTTTAAAAAGAACAAACTTTTTAAACCAAAAACATAGGGAAAAATAGCCTCAGAGCAAAGGAAGGACAGCACTTCCAATTGAATGTACATTAGCTTTATAAAGATTTCACTACATTGTTTTTAATGTTTCTCATTTTACTGCAGAGTGAAAACGTTAAGCACTTCTTAAACTTGAGAAATGCTGAAATAGGAAATGAAAAGAAAAAACAGCAAATTTTGAGAAGAGTTAAGATGTCTGGATAGCACTAGCAATAATAATAACCACCACCACCAGTATTTATTGAGGATTTATTGTGTGCCAGGCACTGTTGTGTTTTGTAGTATTAAGCAACTAACTGAAACAAACGTTTTAATTAAAGTCTAAGCAAATTATTTTGTGAGTGCAGTTTGAAGGCATTATGAATTCTGAAAGTAATGGAGCAGATCTTTATGGAAGAAGTAGCATTTGATCTGAACTATAACAATGTGTAGAATTTCAGATTTTGATGCTTGTCTTTATTTTGTTCTCTTCCCTGGGTTTGTGGCACTGCATTCCAAACTGAAGGAGTTTGAGCACATGGTAAAGAGTTCTGGCTCTGCACCCGTAGCACAGTGGTTACAGTGCCAGCCACATACACCAAGGCTGATGGGTTTGAACCTGCTCAGGCCAGCTAAACAACGATGACAACTGCAACAAAAAACAGCTGGGCATTGTGGCGGGCACCTGTAGTCCCAGCTACTTAGGAGGCTAAGACCAGAAAATCGCTTAAGCCCAAGAGTTTGAGGTTGCTGTGAGCTGAGACACCATGGCACTCTACCGAGGGCAACATAGTGAGACTCTGTCTCAAAAAAAAAGAATTCTTCCAGGCGGTTAGGCTCACACCTATAATCCCAGCACTCAGGGAGGTCAAGGTGAGTGAATTGCCTGAGCTCACAGGCAATTTGAGACCAGCCTGAGCCAGAGAGAGACACCGACTGTAAAAATAGCCAGGCGTTCTGGCTGGCGCCTGTAGTCTCAGCTACTTGGGAGGCTGAGGCAAGAGAATTGCTTAAGCCCAAGAGTTTGAGGTTGCTGTGAGCTGTGATACCATGGCACTCTGCCAAGGGTGACAAAGTGAGACTCTGTCTCAAAAAAACAAAACTAAACAGTTCTTCCATGTTGTGGAAACCAGTCCTACTTCTTTAAAATCCAAGTAAAATAAACTACAGAACGCAGCAGAAAGGTTAAAGTGAGTTCAGTTTGGAGATGAAGCTGTTGGAATGTTAAACACTAATCCCTTGGCAAATAGTTGTGGTAGAAATTAAGAATGCCTAGAAGTTTTTCTTTTTAGCTTGTGTGAAACAGGTGAATGAAATTCAGGGTATTTTTTTTTTAACAGTGTAGAGATTGAGTTATTCAGATTTATTCATTATTCATGGTGATGGTAGCTTTTTGTTTACTTTGAGTTTACAGCTTCTTGGATTTAATGTTCTTAGTGATATATTCTGTTAAATAATTTTTGGTCATTTAAAATTAACTTTATGCTTCAGACACTTGAAATATAGAATGAAGAAAGAAGAGTGAAGAGTGTTTTTAGCTTAAACCCTTAGCAACTTAATACAATGAAAACTTATCTCAAATTTCATCTCTTCTTATAGACCAGGCTGATAATCTTTAAATGTAGGAACAGAATATTTCCTCATATCTAATAATGTTACACTGTTTAGATAAAGTTTATATACTTGATGTTTCACTAGGTTTTAATTAAATTTTTTATTGGATTCCTCCTGATCCAAATACTGTATTGTGTTTTAATGTAATGCTTTTTCCTGTTTTCACTGGATTCAATGAAATGTTATTTGTTTTTATTTACCAGGAAAGACCGTTGTTTACCTTGTGGCTTTCCATCTGTTCTTTGTTATGTTTGTATGGTCCTATTGGATGACGATTTTCACATCTCCCGCTTCCCCCTCCAAAGAGGTAAATTTAATGTTGGTAAATTACCAAATGCTTTAACTGATTGTGGAATTATTTTCCCTTGTGTTGCCCTTGTTAAAATTTTACATAATGCATTTGTTCTGTTTCCATTCATAAGATTGCTTGGTAACTTCCATACTGTGAATGTTAGTCTTCAGCTTATTCTCAGATAGGATCTAGAAACTCTCTTAACATTTATATTTTCTCTGGCATGAACAAATATGCTGCAAGCAAAGAAAGTGTTTTGATTATATGAAACACATTGGGTAAGCTATTGCTTTTTAGTGTTTCTTCTAATTGAAGATTGCATTTGGAAAGTAATAGAGGTTAACATTTCTGGGGAATAAGTGCTACTACCACTGTGTCTCTCTTGCCTTGTGATAGCTGAATGAATTCCCCCTTCACCTAAAATTTAGTATAACAAGATTGCTGAGAATTTATTCTGAGGAATTAGGATCATCGGAGTTTGATTTTCTACTTTAACACATAACTTAATCTCTCCAAGCTTTAGTTTTCTCAGCAAAAAATGGAGTCAATAATTGCGTCTGTCTCTGTAGGACATTTGTGAGGATTAAGTGAGATTTGTCCTGGTAAAACTTAACATGTTACTGTACCTGCCACATTAATAGTAGATAATGATAATGTTTCTTGTGTTAAATTCTTCAAAACTCATTAAAATCATAGTCCATATGTTTAAAAATAATATCAGCTTTTTTTTAATGGCGAACATATTTGCAAAAAAAGTATGCATGTTGTAAGTGTACACTTAATGAAATTGTACAAACTGAATCCAACTGTGTGACCACCAGCTGTTTCAAGAAACAGTATCAGCCCCTTCATGCTTTGGTACAGTCACCCACTTTGTGAGAAACCACTCTCCTGCCTTCTAACAACATAGATTAGTTTTGTATATTTCTGTACTTGATAGAAATGGGAGTCGGTAGTAGTATAGTTACAGTAAAATGGTAGTCACAGTTACGTATGTTTATGTGTCTGGCTTTTTTCTTTAACATTCCATTAGTGAGATTCATCCATGTTGTTACATACAATTGTAGATCATTCATTCTCATTATTGTTTAATATTCAGTTGTGGTATATAAAATAATTTAGTTACCAGGTCTACTACTGATGAAAATTGGGGTAGCTTCCAGTTTAGGGCAATTGCAAACAGGGCTGCTGCAACCATTCATTCTAGTGCATGTCTCTTGGGGAGTATGTGTGTAGTTCTTCTGAGTCAGTGTCTAGAAATAGAACTTCTATATCATGTTATGTGTACATTCAACATTTGTATGTAATGCCATACAGTTTTTGGCCTCCTTTTTCTATGGAATGTTAAGGATAGTAAACCATGAATCATATGTGGTTTGATATATGGTTTGTTATGAAGAATAATCAAATTCTTCAAATATATCCATCAGGCATTTGGTAATAATTTGTCAACCCTCAAACTTATATTGAAAAGGACCTACTTTATCAATTGCTAGTAGAGATGGCTATTTAAAACATTAACATGTAAAAAATAATAGTTTTTATTACAGGAAACAAAGAATAGAATAAGAAAAACGATTGGTAGTACTTTGGAGAAAGCAGTATAGTGTAGAGGGTAAGAATATAGATTGTGGACCCAAACTGCCCAGATTCAACTCTTACCTCTGCATGTTACTACTAGCTGTGTGACTTTAACCACTTTCCTTAGCTGATTCCTCCTCTGTAAAGTGAGGGTGATTTAGTATGCACCCAATGGGATTGCTATAAGGATTGAACCAATTAATTACATATGTATAATTGTGCATGTAAAATGTATATAAGAAAGCCTAGCACATGATAAATATCATCTAAATGTTATGTTTTCTTTTTTGGTTGTTGTTTTGGCATGTTGCATCATTTAGCTTTCAGCCCAGAGTTAAGCCTTTACATTCACTTCACCCTTCCTTCTCCCTAAGTTCATCTGACTGCTCAACGCTGTATCTAATGGCCCTCCTGTGGCATGCGCCTTTTACTCTTATCTAGAACTTAATTGCTGGTATTGTAATTGTCTGTTGACTTATATGCATCACCTTATTAAATTGTAAATTTTGTGAGGCTAGAAATATTTCTATTGTGTTCCCCATTATATTCCTCCCCCCACTATCTGCAGTAGTGGGTGTTCAATAACTACTGAATTAATTATTAAATCTTCAGGGGGCAGATAAACTAAGCTCTGGTGACAACCAAGGACAAGAATTAGCGATTCTCTTTCTCACTAAGCATACAATGTGCTGAACAAGGTAGCCCTAAATAAGCAGTGACAAAGCTGTGAGATGGATGCTCTCTATACCTGAGGACTCTTAGCTCAGAGGGTTGGGCAATGCTTGAGAATCAGATCTAGGGGAATTGATTGTGTGTAACAAAATAGAAAACTTTGAGGACAGTAAAGTATGAATACAGGTTTTTTTTCAGTCATTAAGTACTGCTTGAGCACCTATTGTACATAAGACTCTGTGCTAGGTTCAGAGAATAAAAAGAACAAGACAGACATGGTCTTTACATGTTAAAGGGAGAAAGAGATGATAGATAGTAAACAAATAAGATAATTATAAATTGTGATAAATTTAGAAAAAGAACTTGGTAATGTGATAGAACATAACAGAAGAAAAGCTACTTCGGGGGGAAAGATACTAGATAGTCAAAGAGAAGCGGCACTTACAAATGTCTTAGCTTAAATGCTTTTGGAGGAAAATCTTTATTGTTTCCTCCAAGCTTTTTGAAGGAAAATCTTTGTTGTTTACTCCTCTGCTCCCATTGCCTTGCATCAGACCTAGTATGTAACAGGCAGGCTGATAAAGATCTGAAGGAATGATAAGGAGCAGGTGGCCTAGGAGTAGCTGCCAGGCATCTCACACCACCAAGTGTCTGTCATCTTTCCTGTAAAGAAAATGTGTTGCCATCAGGTCTCTGGCTGTAATCCTGCAGAGGTTGCCAGTCAGCTGCGAGATAAAGCTGATGCTCATTCGCATGGGATGCAAGACCCTTAGTGAACTGAAGTCTCTTGACTTCACCTCCATTGCTTCTTGGAACTTAAGCAGTGTGTGACCCTGAATGTACAGTATTATTTTCCTAGCCTTGTGCTATTTGCTGTTGCCATTGCTTTGACCATTCTCTTTCCTTCTTTGTCTTTCTGGAAGATTTCTGTTTATCTTTTAAAACTTAGGTATCACTGACATCAGGAAACTTTTATTAATAGCTCCCACTGCCTCCCAACAGAGCTCTTAACATACCTTATAATGTATTGATAACGTTGTATTTATCCTGCTGATTTGTATTTTGTAATTTTTTGTTAACGTGGCTAACTTCTCTACTAGATTGTAGGAATGTAATTTTTGAAGGCAAAGATTGTTTTTATTTATCTTTGGATCCCTGGTGTCTGAGACGGTGCCTAGCTCTTAATTGGTATTTAATATAGATTTAAATAGAACCATCTGAACACTGAATTTAAGATAATAATAGCAGCTTGGCACCTGTAGCACAGTATTTATGGCACCAGCCACATATACCCAGCCTGGCCCGGCCAGCCTCAACAACAGTGACAACTGCAACAAAAAGATAGTCGGGCACTGTGGTAGGCACCTATAGTCCCAGCTACTTGGAAGGCTGAGGCAAGAGAATCGTTTGAGCATAATAGTTTGACGTTGCTGTGACTCCACAGCATTCTACCGAGGGCAACATAGTGAGACTCTGTCTCAAAAAAAAAGATAATGGCATTTCATAGTTTGAATTCTGTTCAGTAATTTCGAAAAAACAATTGTAGTATCAATTCAAAAGTCTAATCCAGGCGTCCTCAAACTACAGCCTGCAGGCCACATGCTGCCTGCCTAGGACATTTATCTGGCCCGCCAGGTGTTTTTGCTGCTGCTGCCTGTCCTGCTTAGCAGCCAACTTGTCCCTGGGCCGGCAGTCTGGCCCACCAAGGTCTGAGGGACAGTGAACTGGCCCCTATTTAAAAAGTTTGAGGACCTCTGGTCTAATGTATCTTAATTTTGTTTCATTCCTTATCTAAAATTTTGATGTCTCTTGAAATTTTTATTTGATTTAAGCTTTTCTTAATTTTATAACTTTAGTTCTTGAGGAAAAATAATGATGTTAAGTAGTAGTGGAAAGACTAGGTTGAGGTTTGTGATACTGCCACAGGCTAGGAATAGAGAGGTGAGGGAAATCTGTTCAGATTTTATAAGGAAATTACAAAATTTGATTAGAACATCTCCCATCCACATATGTATTTAACATTATATAATGTGTTTTTTATACTCTATTATGAGTGTGTAAGAGACATGCCATGTCAGGGAAGAATTTTCTAACAAGTTAAAATTCTTGTAAAAGAGAATAAGGCTGGACACGGTAGCTCACGCCTATAATCCTAGCATTTGGGGAAGCTGAGGTGAGAGCATTGCTTGAGCCCAGGAGTTTGAGACCAGCTTGGGCAAGTACTGAGACCCCATTTCTACCAAAAAAAAAAAAAAAAAAGGCAAAGAAATTAGTCATGCATGGTTGTGAGCACCTGTAGTCCCAGCTACTTGGGAGGCTGAGGCAGAAGGATCACTTGAGCCTAGGAGTTGGAGGCTGCAGTGAGCTATGAGGACACGGTTGCACTCCCCAGCCCAGGCAACAGAGTGAAATCTTGTTTTTTAAAAAAGAGAGAGAGACAAAGAGCCATTTTGGCCAGGCACGGACAGGGGTTCACCCCCATAATTGAAGCACATCAAGAGGCTGAGGCAGGAGGATTGCTTGAGGCCAGGAGTTCAAGACCAGACTAGTGAGACCGCATCTTTACAAAAATATAAAAAAATTAGCTGGACACCTATATTCCTAGCTACGTGGTAGGCCAAGACAGGAGAGACTAGTAGCTTGAGCCCATGAGTTTGAGATTTCAGTGAGCTATGATCAAGCCGTTGTACTCCAGCCTGGATGACAGACACAGTGAGAATTTTTTTAGTGTCTCTAAAGAAAAAAATAAAGGCTGATAGAAATTTAAAATTCTTGGTTACGTGCATTGAGGGTCCTTAGATGTTGGGATGGCATATGAAAAGAAGAGCAACTGAACGAGTACTTCTTAAAAGGAAAATACTATTAAAGAAGCAAACAAGAGGCTAGCCACACCAGGGAAACAAATAGCTCTATCAAGGAATCTGTCCTTGAGAAAGGGCAACTATGCTTTCTTTGACAATTTGGCACTCGTAGCTCAGTGGTTAGGGCACCAACCATATACATTGGGGCTTGCAGGTACGAACCTGGCCCAGGCCTGATAAACAACAATGACAACAACAACAACAACAACAACAAAAATAGCTAGACTTGTAGCAGGCAGTTGTAGTCCCAGCTACTTAGGAGGCTGAGGCAAGAGAATTGCTTAAACCCAGAAGTTTGAGGTTGCTGTGAGCTGTGACGCCACAGCATTCTATAGAGGGTGACATAGTGAGACTCTGTCACAAAAAATATATAAATAAATAAAATTATATATAGGGAGAGAGATAGATTTTTTTAGTGGAGAAATTTAATTTTATCTGTATAAAAATGCAAAAATATTTATATTCTTTGCCAGCATTAGTATAGAAGGCAGATATTTTTTAATTTGCTAAAAGTATATAGTTTTTGTTAAAATACACTTGATTTATCTCCTTAAAGTTAAGTTTGAAGACAAGTTTTGCCTTCAGAAATTGAAAATACTTTGGGATATTTTTTTTTTCCTGTTCTGGATGTATCTCTTTTTCTGAGCATGATAATTAACATCATGAAATTAAAAATATTTTTACAATTAATAGTTTTCTCCTTTTTTGTAGTTCTACTTGTCCAATTCTGAAAAGGAACGTTATGAAAAGGAATTCAGCCAAGAAAGACAACAAGAAATTTTGAGAAGAGCAGCAAGAGCCTTACCTGTCTATACCGTATCAACTTCAAGAAGTAAGAAAAACAAATTTGTAGCTTTCCTGCCAAAAGGAATTTTAAAATATGCTTAGCTCTGCCAGGGTATATTAAATGGATACTATGAATGTCACAAATAACATCCTCAGGAGCAAGACTTTCCCATTATCTGCATCGTCTGTGGCATTTCAGATACATGTAGATAAATATATAGACAAATATATCAACATAGATTTCTTTTTTTTTTTTTTTTTTTTTTTTT